TCAACAACATGGAGATAGGCAAGTCGCTCTTCGACGAGAAGGGCTCCAAAATGATCAACGACATTATGAAGACGGCAGCGGAGAAGAAAGTGGAAATACTTTTGCCAGTTGATTTCAAATGCGCTGCAAAGATGGACAAGGATCCCGGTGAAATTAAGACCACTGACATAAAGCAGGGCGTGCCCAAGGACCTTATGGGCCTAGATATAGGTGAAAAATCTATGGAAATGTTCGGCTCCGCGATTGTCCAGGCCAAGACCATCGTTTGGAATGGTCCGCCAGGTCTATTTGAGAATGATAAGTTTGCCGAAGGCACCAAGGACATGTTGCAGGCGGTTGTGTGCGCCACACAGGACGGCGCCACGACAATTGTTGGCGGGGGCGATACGGCGACCGCCTGCAAGAAGTTCGGTGGCAGCGACAAGGTCTCGCATGTCTCCACTGGCGGCGGCGCTGCACTGGAGCTGCTCGAGGGCAAGAAACTGCCCGGTGTGGCGGCGCTTTCAAATGCCGAGTAATAAAATGCAGACTCGAAATTTTACAATATTGTGCATTTTTCATTGTTGTGGCTCTCGCTTCTCCCTGAACCCATTAAAAGTGGGTATAAGGGTATATTGCATTTGTGTCCAAGTGTTTGTAACAGGCAGAAGGAAGCATCTCCGAATCCATAGTCTATATATATTCTTGATCAGCACCAACAGCCGAATCGATCTAGCCATGTCCGTCTGTCTGTCTGTCCGTCCGTATGTATGAACGCAAGGATCTCTGAACCTATAACAGCTAGATCTAGAGATAGATTTTGGTAAATCTTACAAACTTGACATATAGCTTATAAAATAGAATATATATACGGTTGATGTTGGAAGAGGGATCAGGGTATCCCCTTGTCGGGAGCTCCTGACCAGAACCTCTTACTTTTTTATGCTTCAAAAAGTGAGCAACAGTTTTGGGGTCATTTTATTAATACAAATTTATTTAGTTTTAAAATGATTTTTAGCTATTGGAGCTTTCTCAACTTTCAGACCGCTTCCCTATATAATATGTGGGATAATGGATTTTTAATCCATACTCGGTTATCCATAATTATTTTGGCTAATTTGATTAGGAAACGCCGGAATGAAACTTTCTCTAAACAAAGGCGAATTTAAATACACAAAACAATATATAAAAACTAGTTTGGTTTAGGGGTTAATTGTTAATTAATAAAAACGCAGCTTCCGGTTATCCGACTGCGAATATAATAAAATTCTGCGCATACTTTAGTCGATTACACTTGGTGAATACAATAAGTCTGTGTTGCAGTTCGTTTCTTTAAAATTCACACGAAATAACTATAATCTGAGCTGCATACGTTCATTAAAACTGCGCGTGTGAATTGGTATAAATGTGAAGAGTCTGCTTGGTTTTTATAAAAGAGCGGCAACAATTCTGGTCTAATCGAAGCTAATCAGTTCCGCTGTGGCAGGCTCGGCAGCTTTGACTGGAGCAGCCGGTTCGGGATCGTTTTGGGGCGGTGCGGGTGCGGCAGCCACAGCCTGGACTTGTGAGCTGCTGATTTCCATTTGAGCAGCTGGTGGGGGTGGTGCTGCTGCCTGCGCTGGTGGTGCCTGTTGTGGCGGCACTTGTGTGTTGGGAATCGGCGGATGCGACTGCACAATTTGCTGCTGCTGCAGCATAACATGAGCCAGATGTGGCTGTGGTTGGGCTTGGGTCTGGGGCTGAGTTGGGATCTGCTGTTGCTGTGGCGGCAGCTGCGACAACATGGCCTGAGCTGGATTCGGGTATGGATTGTCGGGAAGCGAAGGCTGCTGCTGCGGCTGCTGCTGTTGCAGCATACTGCCCGGCGGTGGGGCCATCATCATGCCCGGAGCTGGCGGCGGCGGCGGCTGCGCTATGCCGGGATTGTACATGCCAGGCGGCGGTATGCCGCCTGCAAACTGACCAACGCCATGGCCATTGGGTGTTGGATAGCCAGCAGCAGCGACGTATGGATTGTAAACGTTGTTTAACTGATGCGAGGGCGAGCCGTGCGGCGCCACTGCCGAGGGCGGCAGATAGGGAAAGGGCGCCGTTTGACCCATTAGATATTGGGCCTTCTGTTGCTCCTGGCGTAGCTGCATCTCACGCTCTTGTTCCTGAATGCGTTGCAGTGCGAGTTGGCGCTGATATTGCAAGTACTCCTGTTTCTTTTTGCGCATAATTTCGAGCTTTTGAGCCATTTGCAGCTGTCGCTGCCGCTCCTGTTCCTCGGCAATGCGACGCAGCTTTTCCACATGCTCCTGACGCAGCACATCCAGCGCGGCACGCGAGTCCTTAATCTGTGCCAGCTTGTCCTGCAGCTGCTCGTACCACATGCGTTTGTCGTCCATTTCCTTGATGTAGGTCAATTGCTGTGAGTGCAGCGAGGTGAGCGTCATGAAGAGAGTTTGCACCGAGGAATCATTGGAAATGCTGCGTCCGCGGCTCGAGTTGGACTTCATGCGATTGACAAATATCTCCACCTGGGTGCGCATATTGGCCGCGAATTCATCAATTTGCACCTCATCGGCGTTCTTTGGCATGGGCAGCGTTTGGAGCAGTTGCTGCTGTGGTTGCGGTGTTGGCGGCATGGGGCTAGGCGCCGATGGGCTGGCCATGGAAGAGGATTCACTAATTTTGCGCTGCTCCCAGTAGCTGCGATTTAAATATTTGGCCAACTCTGGGTTGCTTTCCTCCTGCTGCTGCACGGTCACCTGTGGCTGTGCCGGCTCCGGACTGGGCGAGCGCTGCTGCATGCGATAGGTAGCTACCGATTGCGGTTGCTTCTTACTCTCCGCCTCCGACTGGCTAAGCGCCAGGGCCAGCTGCAGTTCCTCCTCCTCCTTTAGCTCTTGCTCTGTCTTGCGCGCAGGCGTCTTTTCGAATAGAAGAAAACAATTCAAAGATTTAGTTTATTTCGCTGTTGAGGCAACGCCAGAAAACCAACCTGCACCTGCTGTGATAAGGAGCTGTTCAGATATTCCGCTGGCAGGTCGCTGTCCGCCACGCGCGTGCTGCTCTTGGCACCTGCCGGACGCTGCAGCGCCATAAAGCAGCCATCGCACACGCGCACGTCCTTCTCGATGCCGTACTTGGGCAGCGGGCACTGCTTGGCCGTGCACTGGCCACAAAACACCTGGCCGCAGTTGCGGCAATGATGCTTGCGATTGGTGAACGTAAACTCCACACGGCAGCGATGGCAGACCCTACCATCCGCCCAGTTGGGCGCAGTGTCGGCGGTGAACATCGCATCCGCTTCCTTCAGCTCCGGAAATGTGTGCCCCTTGGCCTTCAGTATGGTCATAGTATCCTATAAAATAACACCAATTTGTTTTGTTTATTTATTTACATTTCAAAATAGTGATTTTTTTTTATTTTTTAAAGCTAACTTACTAATTTTTGTGCCCGAACTATGTGCTTTGTGGCATTCAGTTCGAGCACAATAAAAAGTTGAACATGTATTGAACTAATTGAATTAAACACAAAGCTCAAATTCGTATAAACTTTACTCAGATGGAACCTAGACGAATCCTATTCGTATATATTGAGAAGCTATAGCAGCCTGTTGATCATCCAACAACTGCAAAACGAAATGAAACCAAGCGCTTCTTAATTGAGGCTTCAGTAAGCTGAAGAGAATACTTTTGAACGGCTTTATGAAGATTCAAAACCCTTGTAGACACATGGCAGATGCAGAGCAGCGTTCATTCAAGCAGGTTATATCTAAAGGCGACCAAGTCTTCTATACTATCAGACTTTGCACTGTCTGTAGAGGGCAAACAAATTTAAGTTAGGCTCAAGCCTAAGAAGTTGAAATATATGTAGCTCAAGTGCATTTCAAGAGCTTATGGAAATACGCACGTCTAATTCGATTAGCGTTCGTGCGAGAGCGAGAGATCGTAATATTTCCGGGTTTCTTGGGCCGTAACTCACCTTGATGGCCTGATACTTGTCCGATGAGCGAAATGCATAGGCCCAGGTCTGGACTAGCTCGAGCATTTTCTGGCGCACATTTTCGTGTGGCGTTTGCTCCAGGAAGCTGCTAAACATCTCGCAGTTCTCCTTGGTGAAGACCTCCTCGTGCACGGGTGCGCCGCAGTTCTTCACAATGCTCTCGAGCACCAGCAGGGAATAGCATGCTGAGTGTGGATTTGGCGAGTTCATTTTCTTTTTGATGGCGGCAAAGGCATTTTTTGGTCTGCAAAGCGAAATCTGAGCAATTAACAAAGAAGAGACATTTTTATTTTCCATAGCACCTACGTGACATCTTTTTGATTGATTTCATCGCAAATTAACAGAATTGAGGGCCAATCTGGCTCCAAGCGCAAGTGGCTTGTGGCGTTCTCTGCGAAATGGCAAATAAAATTCATCATCAGACACCAAATTTAAAGCATATTAATTGCGTTTCAGGTTCATTCCCCCTTTTTGTTATACTTTTTTTTTGCAGCGCTTTGTCGATGAGTCACTTTTGTTGCATTATTTTTCAGCTTATTTGGCTGCCATTTGTAATGCGTCACTTACCCAGATTTTTGTCAAAACTAGAGCGAAACATTTTGTATTTGATATAATACTATTACAAGCTCTATATTTGTAGTTTTTAAGCTTTAATAATGAGTTTTATTTATGTATTCCGTGCTCGGCTCCTATTATTGCTGGTTGCTGTTTTCGTCTGTTAGTGATGACCAATTTGGACGGTGTACTATCGTTTAACTATCGATATACGATAAGTCAGCTGGTCAGGGCTGTGCAAAGCCATTGGCGACGCGCGCGATAATTGTAGTGTTTAAATAATTCAAAACCCAAAAAAAGTGAATTTTATTGTTTGATTATTTGTGAAAATAAAAACTAAGAGTTGCCATTGAAATTAAATTACAAACTGAAAATCAATTTTGATACTGTGCTCTATCAACTGAAAAGGAGTTTACATTAGGCAGATTCCAAAAATATTTTTCTTATGATCAGAAGATTAAAAGTCTTGGATATAAAGTTTCTTTTCTATTAACTTGTCCATTTTATTCGTACATCAATTTTCTTACTATGTCCTATTTTATCTGATAACTAATCGAATGACATATATACATATGTATAGTCCTTTATATGTATGTACATGCGTATGAAAAATTGTATAACCGTATAAAATCTATATTCGCTATGTTTACACGTAGTATGTAGTACAGCAACAGGTAGCATTAGTTAAAGTATCACACGCCGATGTAAAATATAGTTCACTTGAACTAAGCGATAAGTAACATAAAATCACATTTAATTTATATTAAGCTCAATACTAGGCCACTAAAACGAATCAAATTGATTTGATTTTACGCTTGAGTGTAAAGTAGGCCATGATCTTGAATAGCAATATTTGGCCCAGAATCATCATGATGTTATAGCCAAAATCGCCATGTTCCATGCCAAATTGACGTAGCACCGTAATGGCATTTCTGTAAAACATGAATAAATTGGTCAAACACTTTTTCATTTTCATTTTGAAACACGTCGAAACCTACTTGAAGTGACAGTACAATTCGTTCGATGGACATTCTAGCTTGTCGCGTTGGTTCCCATACAACGACATAACCATATTCTCCAGGGCATAGCGCATCGGCGATAGGGCGGCAATGAATTGCAATGCGGGAGGTATGTGCGTCAGCAGGATCAGGAAACCCGAAAACATGAGCATAAAACACGTCGAAACGGCGCCAACAAAGGTGCCATTCTGAGAAAATAATTAATAATACTTGTATCGTCTCCCAAATATGTATGTGTCTCTCTCTGCCTTACCACCGGATTCAGTATTGTGCCTAGGAATACACCCAAGCCATCTGCACAGATGGTTACGACCACAGCCGTCAGCAGGTATTTGACAAAACGATCCAGTTCAACCGGCTGATCGGTCATCATGTAGCCAATAGTTATATAAACTGTGGAGAAGATTATCTGCCAGGCAATGCGACGATTATTATTGTAGGCGCGTATTGAAAATGTCTATATAATATTTATGTACTCACATGCACGGGTGTCGATGTTATCATGGTGGCCACGTAGTAGGTTTTCAGCTTGTACCAATTGTTAAAGGTTTCCTTCTTGATTATCTCAATCTCCAATGGATCTACAACGAATCCGGACAGTTGTGTTTAATTGAAAAGATTTGTGTCTCGTATAGCTTACAGCGCAATATTCCCGGCATTATGGTCGTATACCAGAGGTATGTACAGTGTATCATAATCATGCCCACATTCGATATTTGCTTGGTTGCATTTATGCCGGAATCACCAAAGAACAGGCCAATCATGATAGCACTAAGTATATGCATGCCAAGCTTAAGATATGTTAAGGTCTGAAAGAAAGACAGGATTATGATCATTACTCAAATATATAGGGTATAAAGGTTTTTAACATATATGTATTGGTGAATATTGCCCTACTATGCGATTCTCACGAATACAAGTAATACAAAAAGGTTCTCGTGCTCTCTTTCTAAATGAATCTCTTGCACTCTATATCTACCCCGCTCTATCTCTGTCTTATTCCCTTTTCCTTATGTTATTCTTACTCTACCCGCACTCCACTTCTTTTGCTCTGCAATGCGTGTGTATAAAGGTCTGTAATAGCCTTTTATATGGTATCTTTTATGGTCAATCGGATCTTGTCCCGGCTGATATCTTGGTCTCTTCTAGAGTTTAAACAATATGAATAGAAGAACAGATTTGTCTTACGCACCCAATCCCTGAAGAATTGCAAGTGACAACGTCCAATTAACAGCCACAAACGCATCCATTCGGGCGGCGGATAGGTGTGTTTAATGAGTTCCTTTGTTGAGTCCACCTTCTGTATTTTGGGCTGGGCTGCCTGGCCTTGGGTGTGCGATTCATTGAACTTGGCCACTTGCGTTTCGGATGGCGTTTCCGACACATCGTATCGCCAGCGCGTGTCCTTGGCGCATTCAGTTAAGGCCTCGGTGTGATCTTCAAAATCACCATTCACACATTCCAGCACTGTCACGTGGCGAACGAAAGATTTTTAATGATTGCCTGATTGGGCACAATTGTGTAGCTACTCACAGAAATCCGCTGGATTGTGGTAGGCGGGACATTCAAGTCCGATCGTTTTCAGAAACATCACCGTATTTTGGGGCGTGCCCTGGTAGGTGCATTGACCCGAACTGAGCACATAGATCAGATTGAACAGATTGTAAATGTTCGTCGATGGCTGATGGATTGTGCACACAATGGTGCGACCCTCGTTCGCCAGACTACGCAGCAGCTGTATGGTGTCAAATGAGGACGAACTATCCAGGCCCCTGCGAATGGTTACAATTTCAAGGTAAGCACATGTTAGTCAGCAACTGGTTTCCGCATTGATTGCATTCTCTATTCTTGCTTACGTTGTGGGCTCGTCTAAAAATAGCACTGCGGGATTGTCTACCAGCTCCAGGGCAATGGATAGGCGCTTCTTCTGGCCACCACTCAGCTTCGAGCATCTCGTTTGCTTCGCATTGGTTAGCTTCAATGTGTTCAACAAGTGGTCGATCTGAAAAGCACAAGCACAAAAGGTTAACAATTTGAGCAACAGTGAAATAACGAGCAATAAAGCGTTTACAAGCTTTCGAGAGCTTTAAGAAGCTTTAATCGGGGCAAGTCTACATTAAGGTAGCTTAGTTTAGTTTAGTATTTTCTCATTTGTATTCTAAAAGCTTTTTTTAGTTTAAAGCTGATTAAAGCTTTTAAGCTAAAGCTTCGGGTGTTACACTGTACTGGATATCTGTAAGCTTTTTAGTGCAAACAGCATTCAAGGATGTTCAATTCCCTGCCCAAATTGCATGTCAGTTGGAGCTTTTAAAAGCGCGCCTATGCTGATTTAAGCTTTGTGCAGCTTTCAAGCTGATTAAAGCTTAGCAAAACTTTCCAATAAAAAACTGTCATTTGTGCTTCGAGGCTGGAATGCTTACCAAAATGCGCTTTTCCTTCATGCTAACACATTTGTTGGAAATCTTGAGAGTTGCTGCCAGCAGCATCGTCTCCTCCACGGTGAAGAAGGGATAGAAATGATCATCCTGCATAATGTAGCCGCACAGCTTGCGCGCCTTGTGGCCAATTTCAATGGTGCCCGTTACGCCGGTTTTGGTAAGGCCAGTCAGAATGTTCATAAGACTAGATTTGCCGGCCCCTGAAGGGCCCATAATGGCAGTCAATTCGCCCGATTTAAATGTGCCCGTAATGCCCTTGAGCACCTTCTTTTTTTCTGCAAAAAATCAAGAATGTTTTGTGTTAGAAATGTGTTGTAAAAAGGGTATCAAATGTCGTATACAAAGAGCGAGTAATTTATTAATTTTGATTTGAGCAGAATCGAGAATGTGTTACGCACCTTTTCGCTTTGACTCATTAACCTGATAGACGAGATCTTCAAAGTGTATATCGATGCCATAAACATTTTTTAACAATTTGCTACTATCCATGTTTGTATATATATATATATATATATATATATTTAATTCTTGTTTACTGTTGCTTAATCAAATTATTTGTTTACGCTGCTTGCGTGCATCTGCTTTGTTTGTTTTTTGTTTAATTATTTTGTTTTTTTTTTTATTTTTGGTTGTACAATTTTTTTGTCACTGTTTCGTTGTGTTTCGGAATTCACTTAAATTTCGCTTAGCAAGTGCTATTGTTAAATACTTTTTAATGCATAATCATTGCTGCAATTTATAATTGTTACACTTTTATAATGCAAGAGACCTCTCTTTCAAGGCGAACTTTACATAAATGTTTAATTACAGGCTCTAAAAAAAAATGTAAATAAAAAGCAAATCAAAATTATGACAAAACACTTTTTGCTACATGGCTGCAGCTTGTTTCTTTATAATTGGAGCGCGCAACTGTACTTCTGGGTCAAGCTCTTGAACCGCTGAACCATTGCATAAACCACTAAAAAGAAAAACAACAAAAAAAAAAAAGACCACTGAACCAATCACGAAAAGCCGCTGCTAACTTACGCATGCGCGCAATCGGCCAGAAAGACGAACAGCTGATAACTGCGGAAGAAGCAACTGGCAACAACTGAGCGGCCGTCGCGACGTCGATTGGCGCAGCGACTGCGACGCCGACGCCGACGGCGGCAGCGACTGCGACTGCGACTGAAAACAAAACAGAATCCAATAAATGGAATAATACAATAACAAAGAAGAGCCTACAACAACAGTAATAATACGCATATCAAATTCAATTTGGCAATGCAAAACGCGTCGACAGCTAAGTAAAAACAACAACAAAATAAAAGAGTCAACAATCGAGCGATGTTTAATATAAAATTTTCAAGTTTAAGTTTCGGTCGTAGACATTTTTTCGGCGATAAGAACCGACACATACAAAAATTCCTATATAGCTCGTGAGTCAACAACAACGAACACAATATGCATACATCAAAAAGATATATATTATAAATTAAAATACAACAAAAATATATACAAAAACAATAAAAATTATAAAAACATTAACAAGTGGCCCATAGAATGAAATAAATTGCAAACGACCTTCCCGTCACCGGTCTATCATAATAATGGCTGGTTAGCACAGCTTTGCCCAGAGAAGATATGCGTGCTCTCTCATGATATTTTGTGAATTTTGTAAATGAATATGCAAACATAAAGTGCAAACAACTGATAGGTATTATTTGGTCGATAGGACAACACCGACGCTCCTATACTTGTTATATATACAAGAGGAATTGAAATACTGATCGTGTTCTTTTTTTTTATTTTAGGCTTGTTTAACTTCATTTGTTAGATAATGCAAAAATAATGTGCTTATTTTGTTCATGGTTATTTATGTTTTGAGCTCAGATAACCAGTTCATGAGCAAGTTTTTTGTGAACCGAACCGAAAGCTTAAAAATATCTTTTAAATTATATGCCAAAAAGCAACAATATAAATAAATACAAATATACACATATTAATTTATGCTAAAAACAAGAGCAGTGAACAAAATTCAACAAAATATTATAGAAAATAAAATAGTTAGACCAAGTCTTAAATAATTTAGTAACAACCTGAGGTAACAAACAGCCTCACGAAATCAACTATGCTCAGCTTTTGTGAAATCTCTATTGCGGTAATAAAAAAATTTGCCGCAATGCGCGCATGAGCTGAAGCTGAAGCTGATGAAGACGACGACGACGACGAAGACGAAGACAGTTAAAGGCGTAGAACAGACAAAGACTGTGTAAATAACAGCAACCACAACAACAACAACATTAAGTACAGTAGCAAAAACAACAAGCACTTGGGATGAACAACTTGAAAAAATATGGCATTTGTTAATGGCATTTGTGGACATCAAGTCGTCGTCAAACAGAAATAAAACATCAAAAAATGGCACAAATTGCAAAATTCGAATTACAAAAACTTGAAAAAAAAAAAAAACACTAGCCGAAAAAGGTTGAAAAAAAAGAACCGTCAAGACCGTCGCGGTCGCTGCACAGCAGCAGCAACAATAACAGCAGCAGCAGCAGCAGCAACAGCAGCAACAACAACAACGATAACAGCAGCAGCAGCAGCAGCTCAACTAACAGTTGATTGTCAGAGGTTCGGCGACCGTCGCAGTTGAAACCGCGAAAAGTGAATCTGAAGTAGCCTTTTGAGGGGGTACAGCGGGGTACAGCGGCTTGCAGCGGATGGTGTGTTTAGCATTTTCTTGCTTTGGCCTATGTGTTTGTTTGTTCATTTCTTACGGCATTTGTCTCAGCTTGCGCAACGAAATTCCTGCGTTTTGAATGGCCTGGCCCGCAGCCCGCAGCGCGCAGCCTCAGACTGGCTTTAGAATTTTTTATTACTACGTGACCATTGAATTAATGACTCAAGCAAGTCTTACAAAAAGCCTTTGAAAAATGTCAATAGCATTGATGGAAACAATACGCGTGGAAGTGCACAGCCAAATAAGGCCAGCAAAGCCAGGCGCTCAGGTTCTCATGACTCCTCCAAAGACCATCATTAAGAGCCCTGCCATGTGCATGAACTATATAAATATGTCAATGTGGAAAGGGCGCTGTCCTTCGTCCACGACGCTGAACTGCAGGTCGGTAAGTGAATGCAATAAATACATATATTATGTGCTAGATATTGTGGCTTGGGAACGCAAACACTTGACCAGAAGTCGGGTATGCCACTTGCTATCAATTAAAGTAAATTGTATTAACATTGTCGTTGGCTTTTTCACAATTTCTTGAATATCTAATGTATATAATTATATGCAAACTGTGCGGCTACCAAGATATCTATTTAAGAATATTATTATAAATGAAACTTGTGATTATCTAAAGACTTTAGCACAGTTTGTTGTCCTAGTCAGCAGTCGTTTGATTAAAAGGCATCGTTCTCAGAGATTAAAGCTAACGGGGTTTCAGCAAATTTTGCATGCTACAAAAAAAGATAACAATTATGATACTCTACTTGTAATTTGATAATACCCATCTACAAATTTATGATAAACTTCTTGGCATGAAATCTTTAAGTTTTCCATGCCATATTTCTCCAAGAGTTATAAAGCTTCGGTGTGCCTAAGCTTGGCATTCTTTCTTGTTGCATTAAGACCACAAGATAGTCGTCTATTAGATGAAGTTGAAGGAAACTTTGAAAAATCTATTCTATGCAGAGCAATAAAAACAAATGATATTAAATGATTTGCTATATGTTTAAACTATATATAGAAGCTCTTGAATGCGTGAGGCAGACTTTGGCTATATCAATCAATACGCATCTGATCTATTTCTAATACTGTCCGTAAATTTTCATTTGTAGTTAAAGTAAACATAACATTATTGATCATTTCGAATTCTCGCTTTCATAAACAAATTATTTATAGTATGTTAGCAGGTATTTGCATAAACAAATGAACTGCAAAGAAATGTGTTTAATATCAAACATGCTTCAAGGCCCGGTACTTATAAGGAATCATAACCATCTCTCTTCTAGTCAGAGTTGATCCCTCATGCGTCAAGGTTATCGAAACCTATAATCAGCTAAATAAATAAAACAGACCCAAGAGATTGGGACCCAAGCACGTGCAAAGATTAGTGTTATCTTTGGCAATAGGTGAATTGCAACGCGTCATAAAATAATAAGACTATCAATGTTGATAATGCTATTAGTTTAATTAGATGCAACTGATTAGCTTACTAAAGATCGCATTGTCCGGTCCGGCAAAGGGGCTTCCAATTAAACTCCAGAATATTCAATCAGCTATAAAGCTAAGTGCAATCGTCACTCGACCGATTGACTAGCACTAGGTTGTTAATTTAAAGTGTCATCAGAAGCTTACATAAACAAATATGACAAACTGCATGGCAAGCCCTTACAGAAATCAATATATTCAGCGTGATTCGGTTTTTTTAGTGTCTGCGCTGTTTTTTGTTTTTTTTTTTTTGAAAGCATTGCAAATCTCAACAGCCGTGCAATGAACCTTAACTAGAAGTTGATCCATAATTTCTTGGCAAGTCATTTTTAATAAACATTTATGTGGGCAATCGGCTTAAGCGTGCCACATTATGGCAACTGACATATTAATTATTAACATAAATTACCAAAAATTTACTTAGCATATGGGGCGAGCATTCATATTGTGACTCGTTTTTATCTCAATGCAAACCAAGTATTAACAAAACATTTGTTGAACAGAATAGAATTGAACCGCAGAAAACAATTATATTTAAAGCTGTGCCTGATTATTTAGGGGACATTTGTAGTTCAGAATCGAACTGAAGAAAACAATTATATAAATCTGTTTCGGATTTTAGCAATATATCTTTATGGCTGTGGGCATTCTTAGAGGACTTTTGTAGATCGGAATAAAATTGTATAAATCAATTGTATAAATCGTTTTCGGATAGATTTGTATAATAATTGGATTGTTTTTCCGCTAATTAAAATTTGTTTACGGTCTGAGACTCTATCTCTGACAATATCTCTGGATCCTATAAATCAAGCAAAGTTCAACAATAATTATGCAATTAAATATCGGCAATAAGTAAGTTCGATCATAAATTAAGAAAAAATATATAATAACTGTTTGTACTATAAAGTAATTAACAAATTTCAGCAGATTCGAAAACTGGCAAAGAAAGCATTTGAATTCCAAATAGTTAATCAGCCTAATGGATTCACAAAGTCAATAGATCTATTAAAATATTACATTTATGACACAGTATAAAATTATGCCGGCTCGAGTTGTATAATCACTTTCAGTCAATAGCGAGCGAAGCACAATTCGTAAATATAATTTTTCAAGTTGAAATTATGTGTCATAGACACGAACTGGTGTGTCAGTCCGGGCTCAGCTTTTCAGACTGATTAAGAACAGGTTAGTTGCACTCAATCCCAAGGGCATAATAATACGATATGAGGGCAGACCGTATTCTAGTTAACAGCCCCGAGAACAGCATATATATAAGTATATAGCTACAGGTGGTAGGGCATAATGTATATAAGAACTGGCAGGAACCCATTACTCTGGTTACTTGTTACCAAGTACAATAGAATTTCCAAAGACGAGCATGTATTTGTGTGTCTGGCTACAGGTGGTTGGGCCCAACCCATAAAAAGAAAACACCTTTAGCTCATTTGGGATAGAATTTCTCATGTTGGCGGTTATTATATATATGTACATATATAGTTTGCCATGATGTTTGGCAATGTCTGATAAGTAATTTGTATACTCTGAAAGATAAGCGCTAGAGATGGGGTTGGGCACTAACACACAGGGAGACATTTCGTTGCTTCTGTTTCTATTTTCTGTTTATATATGCATATATATGTTGGTATATGTATCTATCATATGTACATATATATATTGGGTTGGAAGCTTTGTTGGACTCTATGCAAACCGGAGCGTATTGCATTACAAATTATAGTTGTTCACGCCCTCGAGTCTGAGTATGTTGACACTGTCCCAACGTCCCTCGCCATGTTGCCAGTGACAATGATGATGGTTCTGGCGGGACGGGTACGGCAATGGCAGCGGGAACGGCAACGGCAACGGGAAAGGGAAAGGGATTGGGGTATCTGTGGGCGCTATGGGTGATATCATCGCGATTTGGCAACAATAATTGCCTGGACTAATAAAATGTAAATAAATATATAATTTCTTTGCACACAGGAAAGTCGTTAAAATGGTCTACAGCACGGATAATTAATTGCGGTTGATAAAACAAAGACCTAATCCGGCATATTTGGGGTGTCGTATGCGGCGTATGTGGCGTATGCGTAATATCCGCAAATATATGATATTTACCATATTGCGGGCCAAAAATAAGAAAAAAACATGTATTGAACTTTGATCTAGAAAGAATAATAGATTCGCTTTTTTGTGTATATGACTTTTTTTTTCGTTTTCTGCTGCTGCTGCGTAGCCTGTTGCTTTCACACATACATGTGCACACAATATATATATATATATATGTATATATGTGTTTGTGTGTTCCATTTTCTACATGATTTCATTACGAATGCGAGCAAGAAAATTGCGAATGAAGAATAGGAAAAAGGCACCGAAGAATTGAAATCGAAACCAAAGCTACAAATAGTTCAATTAGGTTTTACGTATTTAGTTTTGTAATTGTGTCAAATTCGTTGAGCGACTCACGAGTTGATTCACGAGTTGCACTTGATATTCAATTCAATGAAAATGAATGCAAAACAAATACACTTGAATTCTTCGAATACACTTCCTATACTTTTAATTTGCTTGGCTCGTTAAAGAACACGAACCGATGCAGAGTTTTGCATACAATTTTGAATATTTCTCTACTTATTTATAAATTCGAAAAAAAAAACCGTATATTAAAATGCGATTTTGCTTTTGGATTTGTAACACGCGCGGCGGTACCACTCTTTGTTTTTTTAAACGTCTGAGTATATATGGATAGATATATATATATATATATATATTCATATATATTTATGCTAGCGTATTTGTGCACTTGAGTATCTCTCGAAAAACACTTCCGAATCGCTCGAAATGCGGCACGAGACTGAGACTGGGTCGACTTTCAGGCAGCCGTTGACGACGTTGTCGGAACGGAACGGAACTCGCGCAAATAGTTTCTGTAGCGTTGCGGGGTCTCTGATATCGTATGTAGATATCTTTTGGAGAGCGACAGAATCGCTCGCTGGGGTCTTTCATTGTTTTCTAATGTTTATTAATAAAATGATCACCAAGCCAGCCACAATAAATGAGCGCACAATAAGTTCAGCATTTCGAGAGAATTGTTTCATTCTCTGTTTTTGTTTGGGTCTCGTCTCATGTCTCCTATTTTGTTTGGGCTGCTCACTTTGATACAGCTCTCAAGTGATTTGTGTTAGAATTCTCCGCGTCTGGGTGTTCAGTTTTCCCATAGTATTGCACAAGTATGCTTGGCGATGCACAAAGCACAGTTTAACTGGTCAGCTCGATAGCTAAAAACCAGAAAATGCTCACCCGCCAGACAATTAATGCCATTTATAAATACGCTTCTAGGTTTCTTCAGTGACTCACTAATTATGTATAGTATTTCCCTTTTCACTTGGTAAAGAAGTCTTGTTTGTATTTCCCTGACATGATTGAACTGATTTCGGCTTAAAGTCAGGTTCATCTATCTGAACAGCATACGTTGTTGACTTTTCTGTAGGTTATTGATGTGACAGAAGTTTTTACTGGAGAGCCTAATCAAATAGTTCCCACGAGAACAATAGTTATCTTAATCGAAAACTGAAATGAAAAGTTTCATGTTGTTTTTAATAGCACACAAAATGGTTATCAAACTCGAACTTTGATATCTTACAGCTACAATGGGAACAACTTGCATACAACTTGCTTGAAAAGAAGACAATTGATTGCCCTCAGTATGAGAAGATTCTGCTTTTGCGATCGGAATTATCTTGCTATTTATAAATTAAATACAATCTTATCTTTGTTTTTTGGCTCAGCTTGAAACTGGGTAAATATGCTGACTAAATCTTTTCGCCCGTCAAAATGAGTATAATTTTGCGAGATAAAATCGTATTAATGTTAACATATTGCATTTGCTCAGACTTTGTTATAGCTAAATCCTCTTTGGAGTGAAATTCAAATTTTAAATATTTATAATTGCTTGTTTTTGTAGGAATGGGAATTAATTTGTTTATATTCACATATAATTGTTGTTTAAATCTTGCTCAAGTGCAGCTCTAATCCTCCGTTCCGCCGATAAGTGGCCTTTCATTCTGTTGTTTAAATACGACACATAAATGAAAGGCAATTTGCCATTTGCAGTATGATGTTTACAAGTTCTCCCATAAGTGTACAATATAATGAATTCTTGATAAAGCGTAATACGCTGTGGAATACTTAATTAGTTGCCACTTTGATAGCGAGATTCCAGTTAACTAGTTATTCTAACCTTTGCATCCACACGACTTCGCTTCTGAATTAGCAGATAATTATTGCACAACTTTGCAGGAGCACAAAAGAAGCTACTCAAACTGATGAGTAATAATTGTGATTATATAACGAATGATTAGGAAACACTCCAGCTGGATTTAAGGCCAAAATATTGCTCACTTCATATAGCAAACATCATGAATCCAAATAATGGAGTTAATGATGGGCAGATGACGCTCAAATATCGCTAACTAATTTATGGTTATATTTTATTAGCTTGTTTTATTTATATTAATTTTGACATTTATATCAACGGCTTTCCCACTAATTGCTAAACTTCATATTGTTACTGATAGCCTTATCAGAATTGAGCTCGAGCACAAAAACATAATAGAATATTTAATATGTCGGACCCCATCGCAGATAAAAATGCAATTTAATAAACAAAGCCATTCAAAGGGTGAGTTTGGGCTTTGTTTAATATAGATATTGCAATTATATCAAAGGTACTTCATTAATCTAGTTTATTTAGTGTTTTTCCAAATATTTTGAGGACTCCAAACAGAACTTCATTATTATTATCATTACTATTACGATAAATGTTTCCTTTAGTATTAGAAATTAAATACCATATAGGTTTTCTTTATCAGGTTATATGGCTTTGTCATGAAATATGTAAAGTACTTAACAAATACTTGAATGTCAATCGCCCGTTTGTCTATTTTAGCTGTTTTTATGCTAACTAAAAATGAATTAACCATAAATAGCTGACATTTTTAACGGATTTTCATTATGTGCTAATATTTTATAAAGATTTGTTTTGTTTGATTTGAGTGCCAAGAAAAGTACGATATATATGCGATCTCCTATCAAGGGCAAAATTTAGTTATAAGAACGACAACCTAGTCACGTCTGTCTGTACGTTTAGATCGATCTGAGATACTACGTGAGCTAGACTATAAATATTTGAAATGTAGATTCTTTCTTATCAGAAGCAAGACAGTTTTATTTGTTTATGATGTGTGCACAAGTATATTTGTTTAAGCTGAAATATTTTGCTGCAATTCTGAGCTTGTTACTGGGTTTCTCCGTGTATTTATTGTGGTTAAGCTCTGTGGGGTCAGATTATTAATATAGCACAATTTAGTTTGTCATAATTTTAAAAAAAATATTGAATTTAAATTTAGTGGAATTGTAATATATTAGCATTTCAATAAAACAGGGGTATCGAAGTGTTAAACAATAAGCAGAACAAACAAAATTATCAGAAGGAATATTTCTTAAAATATATTTTTATTTCGCTTATTTAATTTTAATTGGGGCTAAAGGTTGTTTAAATGATCAACCGCCTCAGCTACGGAAAAAATTACCAAAACGAATGCTATCTCTGAATAGCTTAGATTATTATAAATTCAAATTACGTCTTAAACGAACCTACGACACTCTGGATGGAACCTTTTTTGGTTTTGTTGCACAAATATTTGCTTTGAGAACTGATCTGTCTGTCAAACCAGAACGAAATTCAAAATCTGTGGAATTCAGTATTATCAATCCGTGGTTGGCTACAGCTACTGGGAAACTAGAGACATTTTGCATTATGTTGTCGGCAAATGGTTCTTTGACGGATTGGATTTGTCTGTCCGTGAACCTAGGTAACTTGCTTTTAAATATAAGTATATATTATTCAATTGTGCAGCACCCATTTCGATTCTATCAAATATATTTAATTATAATATTTCGCGTCTCCGAATGCGAGGAAAGCCCATGTCTATGCCAACGACATTTGTCTAGCACAGTCTATTGCATACGGAACTTCAGTACGAAACCTGTTGCTATGTCAAGACAGCAATTGTTTAAAAAATATATAGTAGCTTGTGGCTAGTCATGGTGCTCAATGTTTGTTGGTTTCGTGTAATTTACTAAAATGCAATACATGCCCACAAATGTCGTATGTGTGTGTGTGTGTGTGTGTGTGTGTGTCTGTAATTCAATAGAAACAACAAAAACGATCACATAATTCGAACTGAGGCGGCGAATTTCACTGCGTGCTTGATTCGACATGCGATCGCAAACGCTTTTGACATTGACATTGAAAACGAGCAGCGAACACCGAACACCGAACACCGAACACTGAGAAGCTACATACATAAGCCCGACTTCCCAGCAACGCCAACAACCGGCTGGCCTTCTTTGCATAGTAATCAAACAACAACAACTGACAACAACAACAAGAGAGAGAATGATGCCGTCGGGTGTAAGTGATTGCTGAATACTCGTTCACAGTCCAAATAGAGCTTTAAACAGGTTAGTTGCCTAAATGAACCATGCCCCTATTAGGTGTACGTAAAATATTTTTAGATCAATATTTGGAGGAGCTCATCAATTGTCTGCATACCAAGCTCAGTTAATCTTGCTCAAAATCTAGAATTTATCACGCCTTCAGAGTGCGTAGGAAGGAAAACGCTGAATTATTCTTTAGAAGAGCTTAACAAATGTCTTCATACTGCATTTACTCACTCACTCCCCAAACAGTTTATTTGGTTATACGTGAGTATTTCTTCCGTCTATCAAGTCGCAACCAGCAGGACAGACATTGCACAAAAACCTATATACTCTTTTCGCCTTGTGAGCGAGTATATCAAATATCTAACAGGCTTACACTCTTTGGTAGCGCGACGGCTAGCCAAAATATAATATTTAAGAAAAAAAAAGTCCGCTCCCGCTGGCGCTCCCAGACACCCGGCTAGAGCCGGCCTTGTAGGGGGGAACTGGAAAGCGAAATGTCGTCACGACTCTCAGTTACGGTTGAGTGAACTCGCAATAGACTTTGTTGTTGTATCTGTTAAATTGTGATCATTTCAATGAACTGCAGCTTCGAATCTATTAATCAACAGATCTCATTTTAAGTTTTAAATATTTTTTCTTCGGCCATAAAGTCATTTTAATTATAGCCATGAGATTGTTAAGATGAGCTTTTTTGTGTGCATCTTTTCTTTAAACACTTTGGAATTTATGATAATGGTTAATAATACTATAATTTAGATTTGCATCTGGTGGAGTTAATAGGTTTTATGGGCCTTAGAGCATTTAGCTGAATAATTAAATATGGAGGACGGTAGGTGGAGACGCGATTGGAATGTTATATAATATTTTTTTTTTATTTTTAATTCAAGGATGTTTTAATTGAGTTGATTAAACAAATACTTGGCTGAATGGAAAGTTGAGCAGCGGGAAGTTGA